TGTAGAGCATCCCGGTTTCAAGGCATGTCGGTAGTAATCTGAAAAAAAAAAAAAAATTGAATAAATAACTTGAGATTTCATTTTATTTGGATAGTTAGTTATGTACTTATGTCTGAATTATTATTTTTGAAATCACTAAAATGTAAACTTTTATTGAATCAAAGAAAAAAAGAAGTTATATACATAAGAAACAAAACTGGCTTCACCAAAAAAAAAAAAAAAACAAAACTGGACACGAAGCTAGCAAATTTTGCCTAGAAAATACAAAGTGAAATAGGATAATAAACAAAGCAATACGAATACAATTGCGACGGTCGTCACTCGCCTTCAATTACTTGGTCGATAATGGCTACAGTGAGTCTCTCTTCTCAATCTTCGCGTAAAAAATGAGTTTGATTTCACTCTCTTGAAGATGTATATTTGTGTTCATGTTGCAATCGATTTTACATGGGCGTTTCTTGCCAATGAATGTCTGAAGATAGTTTTTGTTTCTGTTGATGGATTAGATTTTTCTTTCTTTTTACTTATTGATGGATCTCTGTTTCTTGGTGTTGGATTACAATTTTCTCTTTTTTACTTATTGATGCATCTCTCGGTTGGATCTATGTATTGGCTTGTTTGTGAGAACTGAGAATGCATTGTAATTGAGACTTTGCTTCGAACTGAAAATTTCCTTTGCTACAACCAAACTTTTAGCATGAACTGTTGTTGCATGTGGTTATGCCTTTAGCTTGCTTTGCCTCTTGTATTTGAAGTTAGGTGATATATATGAGCAATAACTCTGAGAAGGTGTTATGATGGAGAACACTGAGAAGGTCAGAATCATATATCCATGTCAATCTCACAATTTTATATCATTCATTTGACAATATATGACTTGAATTTTCTCTGCTCCTTACCTACTTCTGCGAAACTGACTAAGCTTTATGTAATTCATTAACTTGCAGGCTCTTGACTGCAGTGAGAAAATTGAACTTCTAGTGGACCTTCGTTTTAAGTATAGTAACTTACCTTTCACTCTATATGTGAGCTTTTTGATACAAACATATCTCCTTTCTAATTTGTCACGCTCTTATATTTCCAATTCTGATATCTACAGCCGCAAGGTTTCATAACGCCAAGAACGAAAAATGACAAGAACGATGTGGTTTCAGAACATGAAGATTAAGCTCATAGTCCTTGGTAAATTTTCCAGTATCATCATCGTCCTCTCGGTTTGTCATGGCTTCAAGTGTGCTTAATAACTTGAAAGAAGAAGAAGATTACGTTGAGGAATTATATTAATGCCCATATTGCTCTGCTAAGCTGATCATGGGAAAACTCTGCCCGAGGTATATGCCCTTCTTTTTTCGTTATGTTTTAGCGGTCTCTGTTTTTACAGATTTTTCATTTGATTTTGTTAAGGATAAAGAAATATGATGACTTAGTAGTTAGTACCGTGGTATGATCCTTTAGGGTATGAATATATTTGGAAAGAGATATAAGCTGCTGGGGTTTGCATATATCTAAATTAGGTCTTTGTGCCTATGGTGATGATATGGTTTCTTGTAATCTAAAACCCAATTTTGAGTTTCTTACTTTATAGAAAACAAAATAGAACAAAAACATCAGATAAAGATACAACAAACATAAGGAAATGCTTCAATACAATACCAACAACAACTTGACAAACATTGCATGATCAAACTCAAAACCAAAAAAGATCTTAACGGTTTCTGCTCTTAACTAGACAAGCTAGCCACTCCGGTTTGTATGAAGCAATGAGTTGTGCTATTGCCAATCCAAGTAACACTCCAACCCCATACCCTATTGCCACGCCTTTCCATTTCAACACTTGTTCCTCTTCTTCCTCTTCTTCTTCTTTAGTCGGCTGTGTTGGTGGCGTGTTAGTCCCAAAGCAACTTTCTTGAAGAGGCAAACCACAAAGCCCATCATTTCCTTCAAAGGATGATTTAGGTTGACCAATTATCTGAGTTCCTTGTGGTATTTCACCGTTGAGTTGGTTGTGAGACACGTTTATGTACTCCAAAAACGAGAGAGTCCCTAGTCCATTAGGAATAGTCCCTGAGAGTTGGTTACTTGATAGGTCTAGTGACTCGAGCTTCACAAGATTGGCCAAAGACAGAGGAATATGGCCTGTGAAGGCGTTGTTCGATAAGTTGAGTGCGATCAATGCCTTTAAGAGACCGATAGATTCAGGAATTTCTCCTTCAAGTCTGTTTCCAGAAAAATCAATGGTGGCATAGAAAGTAACGAGTCTCTCTTGCTCCATAGATAGACCTTTATATCGCAAATCTATAGCTTCTAGATAGGTGACGTAATAGATTCCGTAAACAGCCTCCCTATATACCATATATAGACCCCTATCTTCATTCATAGTGAGTGATGATGCTTTCCAATTCACAAAAAAATCAGGAGGCAAGCTTCCAGTTAATTTATTACCAGCTATCTCAAGTATCCGCAGCTCAGGAAATCCCAGAGGACCTTGATCAGGAGGAGATAAAGGACCATAGAATTTGTTTGCACTGAGGATAAGGACTTGCAATTTTGGTAAAACCTTAAGGGAGAAAGGAAATGTATCTTTGATTCCGTTGTGGTCCGCACGTAGTAAAAGTAGAGCTGAGCAATTTAGAAGAGACCTTGGAAGCTTTCCCGTTAATCGATTGTAGCCAACGTCGAGTGAACGTAGACGTGTATCGTCATAAAACTTGTCAGGAATACTTCCTTCCAAGTTGTTTTTTCGAAGAGTCAAAATCAAGAGGTTACTCAGACATGGAGGAATTGGACCGGTGAAGTTGTTGTAGCTTAGATCAAGGACATCAAGCGAGCTTTTGTTGCAGATTGAAAGAGGTATGTCGCCTCTGAATCTATTGTTGTTTGCAGCGAAGTAGTTGATAGAGAGCGGTAGATGCGGAAGCGCTCCTTCCAAACTATTTGCATCCAAAATTAAGATCTGCACCGATGAATTTATTAAAACTTCTGATGAACCTTCGAAGCCAGTTAACAGATTATCTTTAATGAACACTGAGCGCAGACGAGGAAGGCTCCATAACCACTCTGGGATTTTCCCACTGATTCTATTGTGGGATACGTCAATAGACTCCAAATTCTGAAGGGTCTTTAAGATGTTTGGAAAATCACTGATGTTGCAGTGGCTCAAAAACAAAGCTTCCAGAGTCGATGGAATGTATGAATCCGAACTTAAACTAGCCTGAGATATCCAATCACCGGAAAGATCGAGGAGCAACAAAGATTTGAGAGAGGAGAAGAGACGTAAGTCAATTGGGTAGCTTGTTTTTAGGTAAGAAAGGTCGAGCTCTTTGAGGTTGATGAGCTTTGAGATAGGCTTTAGGATTTTTCCTTCAAAATGGTTTTTACCTAGGTACAAATGCTCTAGCCTTGACGACGAAGAGGATTTAGGAGCTTCAATTGAACCGTTGAGATTGTTTTCTTCTAATGCAAGATATGATAAGAAAGGCATAGTGAGAGAGAAGAAGGGATGGTTCCAGAGAAGTGATTATTAGAAAGTACTAGACTGGAGAGCTTGGTTAGATTTTGTACAAATGGGAGACTACCAGTGAGGTCGTTAAAGGGAAGTCTCAACTTGGTTAATTGGGTTAGGTTACTAATTGTGGGAGGAACTTGACCGAAGAAGCGATTAGAGGAAACATCTAAGACCTCTAGATTGTTGAGATTGCCAAATTCATAAGGGAGTGAAGAGGAGGTGAAGTTGTTGAAACCGAGATCAAGGTAAGTGAGGTGGTGCAACTCAAAGAGGCTACTGTTGGGATTCAGAGTTCCAGAGAAGTGATTACGAGAAACATCTAAGTATGTGAGCCTGCGTAGATTCCACACAAATGATAAACTACCAGTGAGCTCGTTATCGTGAAGGTCTAAAGCAGAAAGCATGCTTAGGTTACTAAATGAAAAAGGAAGGTGGCCGAGGAAGCCACTACTGGAAAGAGATAAAACCTCTAATTTGTTAAGCATTCCAAACTCGGAAGGGAGTGAAGAGGGGGTGAAGTTGTTGTGAGAGAGAGAAAGGTAACGGAGCTGATGAAACTGGAAGAGGCTACTGTTAGATTTCAGAGTTCCACTGAGACAGGCCCCGAGTCGTAGCTTCGTGACCGCGCCTGTGGAGTTATCGCACCACACCCCATTCAACGAGTCACTATGGTTGCAAGCACGAGTATCAAACTCGTTCTTGAACTGCGTAAAGGCTTGAATCCGGTGGGGATCACAAGCACCAAGACCAACAACAGGGTTATTAAACGTGAAGAGGCTTGAAGGGGAGACACAAGAGAGTAAGAGTAGCAAGAGAAAATGCAAACGCAAAAGCGGTTCAGACATGATGAAAACTTTGTAAGAAAGAATGGATTTTGATATAAGAAATGTGAGAGGGGAGGAGATTGGTATAAATAATGATAGGATGTAGTTTTGCATAGTGGAAGAAGTGAGGGCTAAGTGAAGTTGTCATTGAAGCGAAATCAACGTTAGATGACTTTCTAATGTATAATTTGGACTGCAATCACATCACTTTGAAATTTCTCACATATACATTATTTTCAAAATCACATGAATAATGGGGGTGATATTGACCACTACATGTGTTACACACCAAGCTGCTGCACCATCAGCTAACGGAATAGGAATTTTCCTTGTTTTAGATCTTTGTGACGTGAGGAAAGGAGAGAGGTCATGTGAACATCCTTATTGGTCATATTGTTGTGTGTAAACTGATATGATATTTTGACCAAAAAAGTAACTGTTAAATGACTTGTCTTACAAATTGCGAAAGATATTAAAAGAATATCAATAAGGTAGCAAATAAAGTAAGTAAACCCATAACCAAAATCCAGAATAGGTTCAATGTTTATATTTTCATATGTTTACCATCTAGATTTTGGGGTTAATGGTGTCGTATAGCAAATGAATTGTCCATTGATGAATAGCCAATACTTTTGATAAATTAACGCAAACAAACAAACATTCGAAGTTATATGAGACCAAAATATTTATAAGTAATCTTACACTAAGACCCGAAACGAGGAAGACTGGTTAACGTGTTCACCTACATATACAAAAACCCAAAACTAAACCTTTTGGTGAAAAGATAAAAAATGGCACAAGGTACTAGTAGACTAGTAGCCCTTCTGCCATATTTACAAAAACAAAGCAGCAAAATATGAAAGTGTTATGAATGAGACATCATCTCTTTCTTTGTGATTGCAACATTTTGGAAATGCAACGACAGAGTCTCAATATCCGAGGATATCCCTCTCCAACATCATCCATTGCAGATTCTATCTCGATCTTCAGTTGTTTTGATACCACACCGTCTCTTTTTGTGCCTGACACTTCTCGTAACTCGCATGGAACTACGTCACTAGGATACTTCCCACTGTTACAATAGCGAACACACAGTTTCATTATCGGAAAGTCTTAAGAACTTGATAGTTACTGAGCTGCTTAGATACTTACTGGATCAAACATGTCACATCGAGAATCACACTTAGTTTACTCAAGTTTGTGCAATCAAGAAAGCTAATCTGCAAATGTAGCTGCTCCGCTGCAATTAACAAGACACTAGTGTTTCTATCTCAGACAGAACTAGTCATTATGGATTTCTAAATTGCGCATTTATTGGCCACTACTCTTAAACTAGTACGACTAAATGGGGAGTGAGAGGAGGAAAATAGATCACCTGATGGAGAATCAAAGTTTCCTTGGACCAAATTTGGTATATTCATTTGAGCTAAATGAAATTCCTCAGCCACATCTAGCAGATTGTGTAAGCGCAAACTGGTTTTCTGCATTCTCAGAGCAAAATGAGACAAATTTCAGAGGTCCAGTCTAGCACAAAATAAATTCAGCGAAAGTGATTCTTCTAAAGGAACTTACAAACACTAAGGAGAAAGCAAACATGACTTGCAACAAAATTCTCAATAAGATAGAAAGATAGCTAAGACGCTATGATAGTATTAAGAGAACCATAGCAACGAAAGAAGATAATTGGGACAGAAACACACCTGTGTAATCTCCAACAATATATTGGAACCACCAATATTCTTCCGGGAGTCTTCAGCGTTAAACAAAGAGTTAAACGCAATTGAAACATTCATCTCGAGGAAATGCTGTAGAACAATGCCTTGATCAGAAACAAAACGAAGATCATGTATAAATGGAAGGACAACAGTTTAGTTACCCTTACCTTAACGAATTTATCACTCAAACTGTTTGAAACTAGTACACATGAAGGATGACCAGGCTTTAATGTGAGCCTGCATATCCAAGAAATTGTTCAAAAAAGTCCAAACAGCGCTAATGTATATATAGCCAAGTCTAGGAAACAGATTCTTCAAAAAAGCTATGGAAAGATAAAACGAATAGGACCAACCTTTGGTTGAACACGCCACTGTAGTTTAGAACAATACTCTGACAATCATTCCATTCACCTAAAATGTCAACTTTCCAGATCTGCCGACAGCAGAAGGGTGATTCAAGTTTAGAAAAACACTTTGTTTTAGATCCCCATGTCTATAGAAATAAGACGGTATATACCAGAATATCCTGACGTATGAATCTGCAACTCATTCTCTTTTTCAAAGTATCTTCAGCAATCATAATAGTGTCTGCATATGCCGGTTCTCCTGTCACCGTGTCGCACGTCGTAAAACATTGAATCAAGTTTTTGATTTTTGAGTCCAATTCTTTGATCTCCTGTGTTATCTCTGCTCGTTTGCCAGTAATAATAACCTAGAAAATGTTGACAGATAACGAGCTATTAATTACTTGGGTTAAAACAAGTGTCAAAATACACGAAAATCGCATAAGCATAGATACAAATAAGAGAAAGCATAGCATACATCTCTTATCTAGAAAATATCATGAGACCCTGTGGGCAGAACATTACATCTGAGATGTAAACAAATAAAATTTTCTGCCAGTAGAATGAAAAAAGTCATCACCCTGAAAAATGTTCCATGTCTACCAAAAACCATTTTGAGCCTGTGAAAGAGTTAAGGCGTCCTAATTGTTGAAATTTGGAAGAGTAGACCCACCAACATACTACTGTAATGGGTATTTCAAACTGGTCTAGTTACCTCTTGAGCTTGGTCAGGACTTAACAAGCCAGTAGAAAGGAAACCATGTTGACGTAGAAAGTTGGCACAATTCAACCTCAATGTTTCGGATGTTTGTACACCGGTGCTCACTGCTTGAAACTTTTTCTGCATACCATATAAGTGAAATTTGATCAAGCAAGCAGAATCAATAGAAAGTTTGAAAAAGAGGAACAAAGTAATTACCATCATTATTTCTTTCTTGAGGTGCAGCAACTCAAGTTTGGCTTTTTCGTATGCTAACTTGCAGAGTAATGATCTACTCTCAGCACGTCTGCAATAATAATTGCAATGTTATATACTTGGCACTATTTTATTCTAAAGAATATTGATACGGTTTAGTGTTTTGTATCAAATATATAAAGGAAGTACAGGGGGAACCTCTTTGTCTTGGTACCACGCAAGTCGTCACATACTTTCTACAATTAGAACAAGATCATCAGTGTATATTTATGTAGAAAGAATGATAGGAGAAGTTTTCTTATAGGCTGACCTGAGACTGAATTTGAAGACAAAGCATCTCACACAAATGAACCTTCTTCATGTGCGTTAATTTATCTTCCAGCTTGCATATCTGCACTTTTGGAACATTAGTACTGAAACTATAAAAGCTAACAGGACACAGTCTCAGTAGCCAGATTGGGTTTCCGCAGAGAGGAATAATATACCAGTCTTGAGTTCAGCTTATCTGCCAAGGGAGCAAGCATTTGATTGATTTTTTCTGATACTTTTCCTGGAATCTGCAAGGTAGTGGAACAGTAACTTATTTGTATGAAGAAAAGAGGGACTTACATCCGATAACATAAGAGGTTATCAACAGTACTTACTTCTACCCAGTTCACTTGTTCACGAACTCTTCGGCAATCGTTAGCATCGATGTTTCCATCAGGGTGGTCCATCATTGAATTCGAAATATACTGTGTACTCCTCCCGACTTTGGGGCTACAATTTCTAACGGCACAATCAACATCTTCTGCTTTCCTTTTCAATCTGGATGGTCCCTGCAAATTATTATAGTTTAGAAATCTGTCTCAACATAAAATTGTATTATTACATATCCTTTGGGATAGCTCTGAAATATGATAGTTCTTATCCGGCATTCTGAGTAATCTCTTTCAGAAATGAACTGCTCAAGGTCTTTCATGGAATCTGAGTCAAAATATTCAATCTGAATGACCTCTTCTTAGTGGGTTCTTAACTTCTTATAAAGGAATGATCTGGTTCAGCTGTTGGTGTAAAAAGGCCACTTTGGAAATTTACAACCAATGCAGAGATCAAAAAGATCTATTCACGTTCAGAAATGGATTCTGTAATCCATTTGTCCCGTGGACAGATAGTTCTTCAAAACATGTACATGGGGGTAGAAGTATACCTTAGCATGTGAAGCCTCATTCTCACTTTTGTCCATAGATGGAGAGCCAGAGGTACTAGGAAGGTTTTTTGTAACTACAGCAGGAAAGTCTTCAGCTGAGATAACTTCTGTTTCACAATGGACTTTAAAGTGATTATTATCCTTCAGAAGACTCTGGGCAGCACTGATGTTGGTTCTGTTTTGATTTTTGTTCAGCATATTGTCCTTCTCCTTTTGTTGAGCAGAGCCATTCAAGAAACCTGTCTCGCTAAGTAATACGCTAGATTCTGCAAGCAGGGAATCCACTTTGTCAGATAATGTATTCATAGAACAATTACTAGCACATTCCTTGGTCACATTTCCATCCCCAGTCTCAGATTTTTCGATGGCTTTACTATGCTGCTCTTGCTCTTGACGAGTAGCAAAATTCTTCAATGCTGACGTTTTTGCATTTGACGAATTTGTTAGAGATTTCACAATCTTCTCAGGGGTGCTGGCAGTCTGATTTCTCTGTTGTTGTTTATAGAGTGAACCTTCTATCTCAGAATAAGTATTTCCTTCTGGACTTCTGCGTGCAAACACATCGCTTATGTCAACAGCAGGGATCAATACACCGCAACTGTGTTGATCTGGTATGCCTTTCTTTTCAGAAACTGGTGTTCTATCATCGCTAGTGTCAACAGCAGGGCTCAATGCACCACTAGTGCATCGATCTGGGATGCCTTTCTTTTCTAAAACTGCTGTTCTATCAACGCTAGTGCCAACAGCGGGGCTCAATGCACCACTAGTGCATCGATCTGGGATGCCTTTCTTTTCTGAAACTTGTGTTCTATTATCATCGCTAGTGTCAACAGCAGGGTTGAATGCACCACTAACACACTTATCTGGGATGCTTTTCTTTTCAGAAATTGGTGTTCTATTATCATGTTTTGATAACAAATCCTCCAAGTTGGTAATGGGTATATCTGCATGCTTTTCCCTGAGGACACCTATCTCTTCCCTCCCAGTTGCTGGGGTAACCATAGAACGGTGTCCGGATAATTGAAGCTTTGATTTCTCAATTCTTTGAGAAAGAGCAGAACCAGGTGAGGGTGGAATCAATCCAAGTCTGGATTTGCTTTTCTGAATAGTTGACAAGCTCTCAACTAATGCCCGAGTTTCCCTGCTCATAAAGCTTCCACCCTGTTTAGGGGAAGGAGTAACACAAGATAACGACTGAGGCAACATACCAACTAAAAACGCACTTTGCCTTCTACTAGCTGACGAGGAAAGGGAAGCCTCTTTTGTGTAATGTAAGCTTCCTGATTCCTGCAGCACTATTTGAGGGTGACAAGCATCACTGCTATCTATACCATGACCTATGGGCATGTATCCATTTTGAGGAGACGAGGAAAAATCATCGATAGGTGATCTTGCTTCCACAGTATTATATTCAGGAAGCAATTCCTTGCTTCCATCTCCCATTAAAGCTGCTAGTGTAGGAGATATATAACCGTAATCATATTTCCGAGAATTTTCACCCACAATACTCATATCATTCGAGTCTCTACCACCACTTCCTTTATCAACTGGCACAGGGGATTTTGGAAATAGCTTCTTAGGTTCTGTTAACACCATTGCACTTCCTGTATCAGATCTAGAGGTAACCTCAGTTGGTGTTTTTTCTTCTACTGGAAGATGGCTGCTTGTTGGAGTCCTTACATCTCCAGACTCTGACCTCGCAAGACTCCGAAAATGCATCGAAAAACGCCGTAGAATCCATCGTCATTTCATGGTGCTCTTCAGAGAAAGTAGTATCCGACAATCTTCCAGGATTGATAAAATGAGAAGACACAGGGCCAAAGAAATTATCCTCTGATTAACAAAACAAAATCGATTCAGCTCAAAATTCATTCACAGGAGTAAGAACAAAACCCTAAATTCAAAGTAATTGAAGCGTACCGTTATCACTAGTAGCAGAACCAACAGTACTACCTCCTGAAGATGGAGAATATTTAGGTCTCAAGAATGATTTATCCAATATAGCTTCGTATTCACCATCACCATCTCCGTCAGTATCTTCGCGGTCAGATAATTCACCGAAAAACCTAATTTCTTTATCCTCAGCCTCTGATGTATCACCGTTTTGTGGTTTCGCGGCGGAGGTGTTTGGCGGCGTCTCGTAATCTTCGTCCCTGTTGAAAATGTGAACGGAAGTAATTTCCCGGTCGGCGAAGCTCACTCGTCGGAGCCGCTTCCGGCGCTGAGCTATAGACTCCTCGTCTGTTCCTATTCCGGCGGTGTTGTTCATCGGATCTTCTGGCTTTTCCGATGCCATTGGGTGGAGAGGATTTTGGGGGAATTTTCGAATTTTTAGGGTTTGAAATTGAATTATTATTGGAAATAATGTGCGGGAATTTTTCCCTCACTTGGTTTTAAACAGTATTGAGAAGGAAGAACATTTTGATTTTGGTCGAATTGATTTAAAAAGGATGGGTAAATGAGAAAACTCAATGATTTTGTGGCTGAACTATTTGATTAATCAACTTAACCGGTTTGATTAGTAAATTTATACTAAGGCTCCGATGGTGACAGCGGATCGGGCGGTGCGGAACAAGTGGATTGAGTAGTGCGGTGCGGTTTTGAAGCGGTGCGGTTGAAAAGACGCAGTATGCGGAACAAGTGCGGTTTGTTCGAAACAAGCGGTGCGGGATAAATTTCGAATGATGAAAAAAAACAACATGCGGTGCGGTTCAAATGTTTGAATTGTGAAAATGTAAAAGCGGTACAAAATATATATTTTCGATAAATGTTTTAAAAATAATAAATAAATTATAATAATTTTATAAATAAATAATTAGTATATTATAATAAATAGATTTTCTAAATATTGACCAAACATTTTTTCTATATTATTTAACAACAATAACAAACAAAATTAAAATTTAGTTTGTTGGTAGAAACAAGTAAAAGATACATTAAAACAACAGAGTAAATTAATACAATACAAAATATTATCGAATACGTTGATTTTTCCATAACATATTAGCAATATTATCTCTTATTTGCGCCATATGCTCTCTATCTGCTATCTCTGATGCTTCCATATCATCGAAATCAGGCTCCCAATCTGTGTTGTGTATCTCTGTATCCATCATTACTTCTGCAAAATCCGCATCTGAGAAATTTGAAATTTTGATAAAATTGTGTAATCCCATTGTAGCCATCACTACTCTCTTTTGCACATGAATACTATATCTCGGAAAATCAGTAAGAATCCTCCATTTCTTCTTCCAAACTCCGAAAGTTCTCTCGATAATAGAACGTAGTGAAGCATGACATCGATTAAACATCTCCATTTTATTCCTCGGAGGTGGACCGGAGTGGAAAGACGACATATGATATCTCACAACTGAATTTCTTGACGATCTGTAAGGAGCCAAAAACCCTTGTTTATTTGGGTAGCCAGAATCAACGACGTAATACTTCTCTGATGGGGGCAAAGGAAACTCGGAATCACTTCGTTGCGCCATTGCGAGAACAGCTGTATCGTGACATGATCCCGGTGCTCCGTTCCAAATATACGTGAATAACATATTCAAATCACATATTGCCATGATGTTCAAAGATGCATTATCGTGTCGATTCCAATACATTCCTTGTAACTCTAGCTTTACTTTTACACAAACATGAGTCCCATCCATAGCTCCAACGAATCCACTGAAATATGGCCAATATCTTCGATCTACTTGAAGTCTTTCAGGAATTCGATGTAACTCTTGAGTTGTTGGAGTTCTAATATAGTCACATGCAAGTAATTCTGTCGCGGTAAGAACTTCACCAAATTTTCTCTTCACAGTCTCCTGATTTCTTCCAAATCTCAAACCAACATCTCTTTGAACTTCATAGTGTCCACATATTCGTAGAAACATAGCCACACTTTCTTCAATGCTTATATTTAATGTTGGTTGTAGACCGTAATTTGTATGTAGAGTAGCACATAATGTCGTGAAAGCCGCAAATGACATACGTAATAACTGAAGACAAGCGGCATCATCTTGTTGTAACCGATGCCAAATATTTCTCCATCCTAAACCTCCATCGGTTCGGGCTGGTGCTCTTTGAAAATAGCGATCATAGTAACTCAAAGCTGGTTGAATTATTAACTCTTCAAATTGTTCATTTTCCAAGTTCCACAATTCAATTCTCTCTTCATAACTTAAATTATGCATATTTTGTGAACGTAATTGGCAGAGACGAAAAACCTGAAATTTAAAAACATGAGATAACAAACTATCATTAGCCATATAAAAGTTTATAATGAACAATTATAGAAAATACTTCAATATATTAATTTTAAAAAATCTTGCGATAAACAATTATACAAAATGCATAAGTAGGCTAATAAAAATCAAACAATATCTAAAAACATAAATCAGAATGAACCATCATATACTAATCTTCGTCTCCTGAATCACTTTGGTGATCTTCATTTGTATTTGCAGTTGGTCCTTGCGAGGTTCCCCAAATATTGAACAGACCTCCTGGTCTAGGTGTTCTGGAAGTTGGTGTAGTTTCAAAATAATTTGTGAAACCAAGACCTGATGATGATTCATGTTGTACGTTTGGGGTAGTATCCATAGTTGCACCATGTGAAACTTCTTGTTGAGTATTCCTTGTACTTTCGTCTTGTCCCCCCACTGAAAATCCGTATTGAACATTTGTTGGAGTTGTTCCTGATGAACCGCCTTGTTTAAAATTTGGTGTATAACCCCACGGATGAAAGTTTGATGGCGGGCCCCAAGGTTGGAAGTTTGGTGGAAGACCCCAATGTGAAACATTTGGCGATGATCCCCATTGTGGAGCATTTGCTGGTGAATTCCATTGTGGAGCGTTTGGTGGTGTGCTCCATTGTGGAGCGTTTGGTGGCGTTCCATACTGTGGAGCGTTTGGTGGTGTTCCATAATGTGGAGCGTTTGGTGGTGTTCCATAATGTGGAGCGTTTGGTGGTGTTCCCCATTGTGGAGCGTTCGGTGTTCCCCATTGAGGAGCGTTTGGTGGTGAGCTCCACTGTTGATAATTAGGATTTGTTGAATGTGAACCTCCATAAGAGTGGCCCGAGCCCAATCTTTTTGGCAAATCTTGATCGTTCCGAGAAACACTAGTCATAGCTTCTAACAGTTCTATCTTATCTTCGTCGGTGCCTCCAGCTATATCAATGAAATACCGCCGCCAAAATCTTAATTCTTTTAGCGTATCGATGCATGCCCAGTAGAATTTAGTTTTCTTTGGAAGTTGTAGCGCAAGAAATATTGCTTCCGCCTTTTTGAATTCGTCATAATCTTCTTGATCAAAATTTCCCGGCCGAAGTTGTTGTAAACTTTGTCGTTGGAACTCTCTATAGCCACTGATAGTATCTTGTATAGTTGTCTCAAAAGATTGTCGTCTACGATTTCCTCTTGAACCACTTCCAACATTTGTTCCTGAACTTCCACTAGACCGATGTGAACTATTCCCACGCCTGACAGTAGACTGCGAGTTTACTCTGTTTTGTTGCTCATTTCTTCTAGTAGGGACTCGGAATGTATTAGGCACAAACTCATTCGAAGGATGTGTATCATCATTAACGCTGACACGATACACTTCTTCATCTTCTTGGGTCTCGGGCACTTGTGTTTGATGCATGTCACCACCATCGTTGTCTGAGTAATCATGTGTTGCATCATCATCAAGTCCCTCGTTCATTATTTCTTCTCTTCTTTGTCGGGAGGAATTTTGGGGTTGCGACGAAACATCATGTAATACAAAACATCGTTTCATCACATCCCAATACTCTGGCGGCTGTCGTTTGAACTTAGTTGTTATTTTGCATCCCTATAAAACATATATATATATATTATAACGTGTATGTGTGTTAGTATTAGTAAATATAAATGGAAGAATTACTATATATATATTACCAACTCTCGCGCATTCCACCACTCATCAGATGCATAAATCGTGGATGTCTCAGGATCAACAGTGATACCAGTGTATCTCGTGAGCTCTTTCCATCTCTTGTACGCTTTTTTAAACTCATCAAGTTTGTTTTTGAAAAACCCATAACTTATACTCATGTTAAATGCTAGGTTAAATTTTTCAACCATATACTCTCGACCAATAGGCGGAGGATCCTTAAGAGTGTAATTAGTCATGGAAATTGCATGATCAAACAACTCAATCAAAGTTTTTTCTTGTTCAGGAGACCATCTATACCTCTGTCTGGTCTACAAATTTTAAAAATTTCTATAATTAGTTTTATTTTCCTGTAAAAGTAATCAAAATACCTACGATGAAATTTTTTAGAAAACAGAAAAAAATAATTTACTTACTCTCGCAGTAGTTTCACTGGGAGCATTTGTATGTCTATGCCTGGAAGAATTTGTGTTTGAACGACCTCTAGACGACATATCTGCATGTAGTATTTGATATTAAAAATAGTTAATTCAACAACATTATATATATAATTACATTTACATTTTTATTGTTATTTTATTTCATTACATGTTTTAAAAAGAATACTTAAAAACTCTACATAAAGGTTCATTTATTTTCTTTCATTGAAATTAGTACATATTTTACAAAAATCTCAAAATTAAATAAATAAAATAGAAAGTATAATTCTTTAAGTACGTTTAGGTTTACTATATTATTTTTTTGTTTATTTTGATACACACTTTCTTTTTTTTTATGATAAGTATATGTGTTTATTTTCAAATAAAATCTTTAAAGTTGAATTATACGTAAATTTCAGAAAAACGCATATTTTGCATATTTTCAATTTCACCCAACAGAAGATTATGTATACATTAGTAAACATGTTTTTATGTATTGTCAGAATGGAAAAAATAAATGTTTCTTTTCGTGAAAAAACAAATAAATAAAAATTAGGGAAATTTACTAAAGTGACCCATAATTTGTGTGTAATTACTAGAATGGCATACCAAAAATATGGGTTATATGGGTAATATTTATGACTAAAATGTCCCTGTTTTGCTTTGTAGAGAAAAAACATATTACAGGAATGCCATTAATATTTAATTCCAGCGTGGCAAAAAAATACATTTTATTTACGATACTGCCACTCTCGTTTTTGTTAAATCTGTGGCTCCTGTTGCGACAGATTTATTTAGTACGACAGACTATTTGATCCACCACAGACTTTCTTCGACAGACTTTTTTTGTACCACAGACTTTGTTTGATTTAGTAATGGCAGATTTATATTTTTCCGCAGATTTTTTTTTCGCGACAGATTTGTTGTATGTTGTATCCACAGATTTTCCTAAAATTTTTAGATTTTGAATGGTTATAAAACAAATCTGCCACAGATTTGTTTTCCAACCGCAGACTTTTCTTTATTTTGGCAACAGATTTTAGGATTTTTTAAAAAAACTGTCGTTTTATAACAGATTTTGTAACACAAAAAATTGATATATAATGATGACAGAGTTGTTTTATGTACTCGCAGATTTTCTTTATTTGTTGACAAATCTGGCGTTTTATAGCAGGTTTTTTTTAAAATATATAATTACTAAACAGTCGCATAGTGATAACAGATTTGTTTTTAGTTATGACAGTTATGTTTTTTGGACCCTAAGCATAACAGATTTTCTCACTCCAAGTGTTGATTTCATCAAATCATCCCACACATCCGGACCTAATCCTTCTCTGATCTTCCCAATTTGAGAAAAATAGCAGCTGTGGTTCATGCTTCTATTTTGCAAAGGTGATTTTCCTTCTTCATACAGTCGAGGAGGGTACTTGAGGATTTGACTAGAAGACGCCATTCCTAATCACATAAACCAAAAAAAAACATGATTGTTAAAGCTTTTACTTAAAAATCTGTCACTTAAGAATCTGTCACTTTGCCCAAAAAAAAAAAAAAAAAAAAAAAAAAAAAAGAATCTGTCACTTAAAGATCTGTCACTTATAAATTTGTCACTGAAAAATCTGTCACAAAATTCCTAAAAGTCTGTCACTTAAGAAATGCAGACATTCAATAAATATGCGATAACAACAAACAAAAGCAAAAACCAAAAACAAAACAGAGGCGGGAAGAAAAGTTTGTAAATTTTTTGAATCCGCAAAATAGAGGATAAATAGCAATTTGAAACACGTGAAAAATCTGTGAGAACTTCAACGAAATCTGTGGTCATATAGATCGAAAAGGCGGAAACGAATTTTACAAAAACAATTCCGACGAAATTAGGTTAAATATTACTAGAAACCGGAAGAACAATGTAGCTACTGAGATGATTTTGCTCGATCTGCAAAAAAAAACACAAGGGTTAATCAAAATTGAAAGCAAAATTGAATGGGAAAAGATCTGGGTAAAGGTAATCATACACTGTTGAATGAAGATACCAAATTTGAAAGGAAGAACAAACTTCTCCGTTGAAAACAAGAGAAAACGAGGACACCGAAGAAGAGTTACAGTCACCACGAGATAAGCAAAACAGAGGGGAAAGGAAACCAAAACGTCTCGCCAGAGATCGAGTCGCCGGCGAAGAAAAACCACCGGAGAAGAAAGCAATTACGGCGACTCAACGACCAACGGAGGTTCCACGGCGAGCGAAGCTTTCGACATGCATTTGGACGGAAGATTAGGACTATCGAAGAATCGACGGCGACTTCAAACAACGACTCGACGGTGACCAAGGATTTCTAGGGTTTTTTTGGGAGAGAAATCGTGGAGTTTGAAGAGAAGAGAAGAGTGAATGTCGTCGTTTTGGTTTCTCTACAATAAAAGGCAAAAATTGATTTATTGATTAATATTAGTTTAATTTCTTTTTTTTGTTTTAATTAAATTATAATGGCATAATTGTTATTAATGTTAATCAAGAAGGTTAATTAGACTTTCTACTTAAAATATGGGTTAGTCTAGTAATCCAAATCAAATGGGTGTCATTTAAGTTATTTTTTCTAAGTTATGAGTCATTCTAGGTAAATCTCAGTAAAAATTATCACTACAACTATGTAGATACACGTATTGTAACCGTTTAACTAGTTATAATTTTTACAAAATAACTTTTGCATTGAACAACAAAAAAATAAACAATGATTAGTTTCCTTATCTATTCGGTTATTCACTCCTAAATTTAGTTGAATAATTTCATATATAACTTAACTGAATGATTGTAACAAATGTTTTAACTCCTCACTGAACTCTCTTTATATCTCGAATAACTTCATTTTCCATCTAAAAATATAATAATAATGATATATATATAAAATAATTAGTTAATGATTCAAAATTAATAACTCATGTTTACCTTGTGGAAATCGTATGCAAAAAGATATGAAAACAAAAGAAATTTGTTGGCCTCCTTCTTTTATAAAACGTCTTCTTCTTTTGAAAGCCGAGAGAAATTTATGTATTCGTGTTGTTGAGTTTCTATGAATACCATCTAAAACCACACCCTATGGCCCTCTTCTTCTATGCATGTGCGTTTCCAGCTTTTTGTACCACACTTACCTTTTTATTTTTATTTTCTTTATTTTTTATTTACATAGAGATATGTGGATAATCTTAGCTGAATGGTGACAAAATAGGTAAGTGGACCGCACCGCACAACGTTTCTGGCAAAACATTCACAGCCTAATACTATACTTTTACAATGGCTAAGGGGTTGTTATTCAATGTGGGATTTTAATAGAATTACAATCCAACGCTAATCCAATGTTATTCAACTTTTTTTTTTTTGGGTCAAAATCTAATGTTATACTACCAATAATTCTAAATCCAGCTTTAAAATCTGATGTTATTGGATCTTATATTTTTAAATCATGTTTAATAAATTTTAAAGTTTGGTGTTATTCAACTAAGATTTAAAATACTTTATTAAAATTTAGTGTTATTTAAAACTAAAAAACTTACAAAACCGGAGTTATTGGTTCATGAATATATAAGGAAATGAAAATCCAAACAAAAATCTTTTGTTTGTCTTCGGTTGCCGATGTGTGTACGCTTCTTCAGTTGAGTTTGTGAACTCCCATTTATCTCTATGTTTCTGTTTGAACTATTGTTGTAGTTTTAGTTTTCTCATTTGCTTGACTATGTTGTATTGTTGTGGGTCACAGAATTTGCTTGTTTGGCTCCTAGTAGCCTTTTGTATCCTCCTTCTATGGAGAACTCTTGATTAATTTCTAATGAAATCTCCTTATGACAAAAAAAAAAAATCATTTGTTATTCAATCATTGATTTTAAAATCCTAATTAAAATCATGTGTTATTGGTTCTATGATTCATAAATACTAGTTAAAAGTTAAAACCCTATGTTATTCGTTTAATCATTTGTATTTAGATTTCAAAATCCAAATTGTATTTTAAATGGATTTGAAGGAGAAAAATAGAAGGATTCAAATCCATGGATAAACACATGTTATTTCAAAATTCATATGTCTTGATTTCATAATTAATAAGGATTTTCAAATCCTATATGGATTTACAAATCAATAAACCAATAACACCTCATGCATATTAAATCATTTGAAATGAAACCTCTTTGGAGTTTCATGAGTAACTTATTAGAATCAAAATCCAAAAAATACTGCAGAGATTTTGAAATCCACACAAACAGAATCTTAAAAACAATATCAGATTGCAAATCTAAACCTTAAAGAATTGATTTTAACTCCATCATTGAATAATACCCCCTAAACCATATTTTCTTTCTCGATAAAAAATATTTTTAGTATTCATTTTCTTTTCATAATGTTTTTATTTTTATTTTTATATTTTACATTAATTTATATATAAAATCGATATAACAAATATCTAAATAATTAGTGCGTGGTTCAAAAAAAATATTATTTCTCTCTCTCTCTCTTCTCTTTAGAGAAACTTTCGATTAAGTTTTTAATTTGCTCAGAGAGTTTTGTTCAGGCTTTGCCGTCGCCTTTGTTAAACGTTGTTTGTTTGCTTGCAAGAGAGGGGAATTGTCTTGGTTCGTTTCTGTTTCTGATCACGAGAGATAACAAGCCTATCTTTTGTGTTTATACAAATGTGTCAGTTTTCGATGGATCAGAGGCGAAGTTTCACCATCTTATGGTGAATCGGATCAATTTAGAAAAACTGGATATGTGGTGGATTTGTTTATCCACATAGTGGTTGTTTGGTGGATTTTCTCTAGCTTGTTTTGTTGGGTACACTGTTTACAAAAAATTCAAGGATAGTTAGTTTCAACGAAAGTTGAAGAAAAGAAGAATTTTTTTTCGTGATTTTTAGATTCCTTTGATCCATGATTTAATTTGTTTGGAGTTTCGATTCGTCGTGCAAACAGTTTTATTGGTGGAAATCAGAAGAATCAATGGTCAAATTTCAGTTAACGACAATGATTTTCTTCACCTGAATCAGATTCTCAGACGGTGGAGATTGATGTCAGAAAAGCTTTAGATTTTTCATCCAACGTGTCTTTGTCGTTACCACATGTTGTCACGTGGATTTGGAAAATTTTGACGCATAGCAAAATTTTAAATGTTAATGTGATATTCTAAAACTTTAGGATATATCTGAAATCGAATATGCATTTGCTAAAGAAAAAAAATTTGGTCTCGAATATCCAAGACTTGGATACATGAATTTACCGGTTTTATTCTGTCTTGAACTCACTTACGGCATGATTCAAAATATCATGTAGTCCCCAAAAAAAGAGCTCTGAAAGATCCATCTCATTTCTTGATGATAACATTTACGGAAAACTTTCATGTTCCCTTTTTTGGTTCATCTGACGCTACTGTCTCCACTCTCCAGACTATGTAATCTAAGTTTAAATAAACTCAGTGTACACCAAAAAACTCTCTAGGACTGATTGGATTGGGCATAGAGCCCATGCACATAATATTGGCGGACATTCAAATATTGCATGGTTAATTATTTTCTCATCCATTCTACCTCCGTGAAAATGAATCCTTCTAGCTATGATTTAACCGTAATACATCATGAGTCTAATTACCATACAAAATGTCTTTTTTTTTTTATTGTCATTTGACTTTACAAGCATGAACTCTTAGGATATCAAGTGATAGGCCTTACCCTGAATCTCCTTTTCTAATGTCATTCCATTGGACCATTTCACTACCATTTCCATCGGGTGCATTCCAAAAATCTTGGCAAAGTCTTAACTATTTATTCTACATTTTCATAATGTTCGGACATATTAAAATCTTCAATATATTTAATCTATTGTAGATTGATCTTTGAAGTTCGCTTATTAATGAATTTAATATTTAAATCCATATATATCAAATGATATGGTGGATTAGGCTCGGCGTACAGACTTCAACCCGTTTTGGCAGCTCAATACGCACAATCCCAATCTTCATTTAATCGCTAGGTGGCCACCTTGGCGGCGGATCTCCCATGGAAAAGATTTTGATGGAATATATATATATATATATATATATATATATATATATATATATATATTTTGATGGAATATATATATATATATATATATATATATATATATTGTTTGAAAAATTGTTTGATAAGAATCACTATTTGAATCAGTGTACTAAAGGAACTTCTTAAAAAAAGAAAAAAAAAAAAAGAAATTCAAGGTCAGAAGTTTGCATGTTGTAACTCCGGTAAGGTGGACTTGTAGTCCTTGACTCTTCTGGCACGTTGTAAATCTCTCTCTCTTTCTTCCCCTCTTGTGTCTGATAGGCAGACACAAGTTTCTTCATCCTCTCTGCTTATTTTGCTGCAAGCTTCATCTTCAGAGCTGCCCGATTGGCTTCACGCCCATCCTGAAAACAACATCAAGATTCATCCACATTCTTTTTTTTTTTTTTTTTTCATCAAACACCATTTTTATTAAGATATCGGAAAGAGACTCTCCGCTAGGGAGAGCCAATCAGGAACCGAAGAACTTACATGGGCAAAGAGACTGTTTCGAGCCCGAGCATTTTTGGCTAAACAGTCTGCTCGAGTATTACAACTACGAGGAAGAAATCTAATATTAAAAGAAGGAAAAAAACAAATGAGAGACCGGAAAGAGGTCATTTCTGCTGCAAAAGTTGGCCAAACGTCTTGGTTGTCGAGGGGAGAAATCATGTCAGAGCAATCGGATGCGAAGGCGCCAGTGGTAATGTCTAAAGAGATCATACATTCCATTGCCCAAAGCAAATAATAAATTTCCGCGTGGAGCGGTGAGAGACTTCTTCTCGAACTCTTTAGTCCAAGATGAAGAATACTGTCTTGGTTGACTAAAACCCAACCATGTCCACTTAGGGTATCCTCCGTATGCCAGGAAGCATCAATCTGGCATTCCGAGATCCGAGGGAGAGAAGAGTGGGGTTGAGCCGAGCGGCCGAGAGGCTCGGGATCTACCTCATCTTTCAAGTTAGCTTGCTTCCAAACAGAAGCTTCTCGTACAGCCAAGGCCAAAGTTTCCATAGGGGGTTCTTTGAAGTTTTCAAATAAGAAGCGATTACGGCTTTTCCAGATATACCATAGTATCCATGGAAAGAGTTCTAAAACATCCTCCTCTATTCCAAACTCTCGACCTCGCCAGAAGAGGAAATCGAAGTTGTAGAAGAGGGAATTTCTAGGAAAGATGTGCCCGGAAGAGGGAATAAGTGATAATGCCCAAATCTGTCTCGAGGGCGGGCATTCAAAAAGAAGATGGTTAATAGATTCTTCTTCCCCTCCGCAGCGAGGGCAACCTTTGTCAGTACCAATATGTCGGTAGACAAGTTTTTGGCTTGTGGCTAGACAACCCGAGATACATTGCCACGCGAAATGCATGAGCTTCCGCGTAGTTTTAAGCTTCCATACTTGTGCCTGAAGTGTCGAAACACCCGGTCCCTGAAAAGGGAGGTCACAAGTAGGACGAGACCGAGCTCTCGCGGCCCAATAACTGGACTTTACCGTGTAATTTCCGGATTTGGTATGAGACCAACTAAAACCATCGCTCAAGTAAGTACGACTTGGTCGGATCCCTAATATGAGTGGAATATCTACAGGATCAATCAAAGATTGAATGCGATCCAATTTCCACGTTTTCGTGGTTTGGTCGATGAGGTCATTAACATAGAGATGTGGATCTCGAATGTTAAGAATGCTCTTTGCGGGCCGCACAGGAATGGTGGGAATCCACGGGTCTTCCCAAACTCGGGTTAACATTCCAGAGCCAATGGTCCGTCGAAGGCCCGAAACAAGTAGTGGTTTGGCCGCCATAATACTCCTCCATCCATAGGAGGGACGGTTAGAATTTCCAATATGTAGAGGATCACTAAATCGAAAATATCTACCCCTCAGGACCCTGCTGAAAAGAGAATTTGGGTATCTAAGGAGGCGCCAAAGTTTTTTTGCTAAAATAGCAAGATTAAACTCTTCAAGCGTTCTAAAGCCCAAGCCGCCATCGGAGTGTGGCGTGCAAAGCTTATCCCAAGGAATCCAGTGGATACCTTTACTATTTTCATTAGTTTTCCACCAGAAATTCGCAATTGCACTACTCAACTTTGAGCGGATAGCCTTGGGGAGGAGAAAACACGACATGACGTATGTCGGAAGGGCCTGTGCTACGGATTTTATAAGGACCTCTTTGCCTCCTTTGGACAAGAATTTAGCGGACCAAGTATTAAGTCGTTTTTGAAGCCTATCCCTAACGAAAGCGAAAACTTGAGTTTTGGAGCCATGAATCTTCTCTGGTAATCCCAAGTATGACCCCATGCTCCCGTCTTTGAAAATACCCAAAGTCTCCTTGATAGTATTTCGGGTTGAGTTATCAACATCATGGCCAAACATAACCGAGGACTTTGCAGTATTTAACTGTTGTCCCGAAGCCTCGCCGTAAACGCGGAGAATTTTGATGATTTCCCCACCTTGGATTCGGTCTGCTTTACAGAAAAATAAGCTATCGTCCGCGAAGAGGAGGTGGGAGGTAGAAGGGCTAGCACGAGATATTTGAAGACCTTGGATTCGGCCATGCCATTCTGCTTCTTTGAGGTTAGCGACCAGAGCTTCGGTACACAAAATAAACAGGAAAGGAGAAATAGGGTCCCCTTGTCGAATTCCCCTCGTTGGTTTAATGGACCCTCTCGGTGCTCCATTCAAAAGAACTTTATAAGAATCTGAGGAAATGCAAAAAAATATCAAATCTACCCATTTCTGAGCGAAGCCCATTTTGAGCATTAGGGCTTGTAAAAAGGACCATTCTACTCGATCATATGCTTTACTCATGTCCGTCTTTATAGCCATAAACTTTTTCTTGCATACCGGATTGGTTCGAAGAGCATGAAAATTTTCTTTCGCTATAAGAATGTTGTCCGTAATGAGTCTTCCCGACACAAAGGCGGATTGAGTCTCGGATATTAATTCCGGAAGAAGTTTTTTAAGACGGGAGACCTTGAAATAACTTTGTAACTAACATTACACAAGCTAATTGGTCGGAACTCCGTCATTTTCCTCGGTCTATCGGTTTTTGGAATCAAACATATATTTGTCTCATTCAATCGCTTATCGAAAGAGCCTGATGAATGGAAGTCTTGAACTACTTTTACTAAGTCCGACCCAGTCAAATCCCAGAACCGTTGGTAGAAGAGGGCTGTCATTCCATCCGGACCCGGAGCTTTGTCCGGGTTGAGAGAAAAGAGGGCTCGTCTAACTTCCTCTGGGGAAATTTCTTTTATAAGATTCTGGTTCATAGCTTCCGTGATCAAAACTAGCACGTCCCTAAGGGCGGAATGGAAGTCTTGTGGTTCTGAAGTAGTGAAGATGTCTCTGAAGTAGTCCACCGCTAAACCCTCTATATCCACTTCTCTATCCACCCACAATACCATCTTGGTTTAACAACCCAATGATCTTGTTTTTTGCTCTTCTTTGCTTGGTAATAGCATGGAAGTATTTAGTGTTCTTATCGCCGACTTGGAACCACGTTTCCCTACTCTTTGCCCTCCAAAAGATCTCTTCTTCCCTGTAGGCATCGCATAGCTTCCATTTTAGGGCTAACAAATCTTCTGCAGAGATGGACTCGTCTTCCTGGGCTTGGTCAATTTGATTCTGTAAGGCTAGAATCAACTTCTCAGAGTTTGTAGAACTCGATTTCTTCCAAATAGAGATAGTTTTTCTACAGCTTGAAACTTTTTGCAAAAGAGGAACACCTTCTTGGGAAGGGAAAGTCCAGCCTTGAATGACCGATTCTTTAAACCCCGGTTTACCAATCCATTTTTTATCAAAAATAAAATTTTTGACAAACCGGTGAGGACTATTCTGAATTGAAGCTAGGAGGGGCCTATGATCAGAGCCCCATAATTTTAAATACTCCACATTAGTGTGGGAAAAAATTGAGTGCCATTCTTCATTACCCAAAGCTCTATCTAACCGCGATTTGATAAGACGACGAACTCTCCGACCCGTAACTCCACAACTACGACGCCCCACCCAAGAGAACAAGTTGCCCTGAGATGGAACCTCGATCATTCCACAATTTTTAATCATACAACGGAAAGGAAGGAACGACGATTCGGACCTACGTTTACCGCCTCTCTTCTCATGGTTTCCGGTAATTTCGTTAAAATCACCGATCATAAACCATGGATCAGAACGAGTAATGCCAATGCGCGTCAAGCGTTCCCAAACTAATTCTCGGTATTGAACTACCAGATCTCCATAGACAAAAGTAATAAAAACACGGTTTCCATCAATAATAGTCTCAATATCAATCAGCCGATCACTAACAAAAACAAACTTAACCGGATAATCTTTTGTATACATAAGAGCAAGACCACCACTGTTACCAATAGGTTCAACAGTTTGAAGGGAGTCAAAACCTAAAGATACTTGCATATTATGAAGGTGCACACGGTCATTTTTAGTCTCCGATAAAAAAAGGAAGCCTGGAGAATACATACGACACATATCTTCCAGTCGACGGGTAGTAAGTTCCGCACCCGCCCCTTGACAATTCCACGCTAGGATCCTCATCAATTATTTCCGGAGGGAGAGTAAATCCCCACCGTACTAATAATTGAAAAAATACTCTCCATAAGAAAGGAGTAATATGTTAAAATTTGGATAATACAATTGGACCTCAAAACCAAGCTTCTAACATGTCGAGAACAAGTCCACTTCCAAAGACTAATGGACCAGACCCATAACATTATCATTTTGGTGGGCCAAACAGGCTTTAAACCCATAAAATTTTCTAGGCCTAAACAGACCCGAATAGAAACATAAATGGGCCAAGCCCAAACCCGGTTTAATCGCAAATATAATTTGATACTTTGTTGACCTAGCTCGGTCATATCAGAGACGGAGCGGCGGCGAGGTTCGGTGGTGAGGCTCGGTGGTTGTGCGGTGAAGACCGCTTCACCCAGGTGAAGGAGACACGAAGCCTGTTGAGGGAAGAATTGGGCTTTAGGGATACAAGGCCCAATTCAAGAAAGAAGGCCCATTCCCATAAAGTCTCGAGACGATCCAGGCCCACGAACGGAAGAGCCCAGAAGATCTCGCCGCCTTATAGGCTCGCCACGTCATCACATTCAAGGGCAAAGACGGAAAAGACCGTCAGAGTGTGCCCTACCCGACAGGGTTATAAAAGCATGACGACCAGTCCTGTCACATCCAGGGGAAATCACGCTGACACGGCAAGGATACAAAGAGCTCGGCAAGGACACGAAGAACTCGGCTAGGATACGAAGAACGATCTCAGTCTAGAAGGAAAACGACCTCAAGTTTCATTTAGCTCGGAAAACGACATACAGTTCGGCACCAAAAACGACTCGGAACCTCTAGTCCGAAGTCATCCATTCCGGCTCGTTTAACGTCATTTGTATTCTCGGCTCGTATTGTTTTGGGAGATTCTTTTTACTTCCCTAGAGAAACCCTATTTCGTACTTGTGTGATTCGTGCATCAACAGTTGGCGCGCCAGGTAGGGGGATAGCTCAGAGATATCTCCAGTCAACAAAACGAGCCCACGACAACACAATGGCAACCGATGGAAACCAGGGAACCAGCGCAGGCGTCCGAGACGACAACGCATCCTCCACGGGAGGAGAGACAGTGACGCCGATCCCACCAGGAATACTTCCACCAAGGAAGGCTACCCATACCTCGGTAGCTATTCCCGCATCGTTACCTCAAACGCCCGAGGGCCCAGCAGAAGCGGTAAGAAACGAAATGCCCCCGGCACACCATGAGGAAGACGAACCGACCTCTCCCAGCAGACGACGTCCAACGAACCTCGAGGAAACCCGTGCAGAACAGAACGCTGCGGCGCCAACTCCCGCCGAGCCAAACCGGCTGCTCCAGAGCATCCTCGACCATCTAGGTCGACAGGACGCACGAACAGATGCTCGGTTCGCATCTCTGGCCGCAGCTCAAGCATTTTCCATGGACGAGATCAACCGTCTGCAAACAAGTCGAAGCGCAAACGCTGTCTACATCTCCCCTGGAAGCTCGGCCCATCCTCAGCCAGCTCAGCCCGTCCAAACAATGGGCAGCACCAATCCGCGAGATACGGAGATTGCCGAACTAAGACGCGCTGTCCTGGAAATGAGTTCGAAAATTCACCGTGCCACTAGCTCGGCTCCGGAACTCGACCGCGTGCTCGAGGAAACTCAGCAAACCGCTTTCACCCGAAGAATCACAAGCGTTTCAGTCCGCGGATCCAAGAAAATCAAATTGGAAAGATACAACGGAAAGGGCGACCCTAAGGAATTCCTGCAATCTTTCAGCGTCGCGATTAACCGCGCCGAGCTTACTCCAGAAAACTTCGAGGCAGGGCGGTGCCAGATCTTCATCGAACATCTCACGGGCCCGGCTCTCAACTGGTTCTCCCGTCTTAAGCCAAACACAATCAGCAGCTTCAACCAACTGTCATCGTCTTTCTTAAAGCACTATTCACCTCTTATCGAGAATCAGACGTCCAACGCCGACCTGTGGTCCCTATCGCAAGGCCCCAAGGAATCACTCCGATCGTTTATCGATCGCTTCAAGGTGGTGGTAACCAAAATCACCATCCCTGACGAAGCCGCGATAGTAGCTCTACGCAACGCCGTCTGGTACGACTCAAGGTACAGAGATGATATCACTCTTCATGCTCCGAACACCCTCGAGGACGCACTGCATAGGGCCTCGCGGTATATCGAGCTCGAAGAGGAGCGGCTCGTTCTAGCTAAAAAACATAACCCGCCCAAAGCATCTGTAACCAAGGAGACTGCGTCGGCCATACCTAACGCAACAAACAACGCCGAGCCAAAACAACATTCCAAAGGTAACGTCGGCCAGGCAAGACGACCCACGACCTTCGTCGTGAATAGCGAGGCGCCATCAGCAAGGCCGTGGAACAAGTACGTAAGGAACACCGATTCTCCGGCATCGACGTCGATATTCTGTGAATACCATAAAAGTAAAGCACACGCCACCGAGGATTGCCGATATCTGCAAAGCCTGCTGATGGCAAGGTACAAGAACGGAAGTATCGCGATCGAGTGCGACCGCGCCCAAGAAACGAAGAATCAAAAGCGCAACGAAAGCATGGCTCGTCAATACCTGCAAGACCATGCGAAAACCGAGGAAGTCGAGGACGCGAATGATCCCGCCAAAAGACCTCGGAATGGGAAGGCACCAGCCGAAGCCCCGGTGGTCGTCAGACAGGTCCGAATGATAATGGGCGGACTGCAAAACTGCAACGATTCTGTTCGGTCAATTAAACAATATCGCAAAAAAGCTGAGATGAAGGAAGTATGGCCGTCCACAAGCGCACCACCAACTGCGCCCGTCGACGAACCCATATCGTTTACCCAGTCCGACCTGGAGGGCATCGACACGCCACATAACGATCCTCTCGTCGTCGAACTCATTATTGGCGATAGCCGAGTAACTAGAGTGCTCATCGATACTGGAAGCTCGGTCGATCTCATCTTTAAAGACGTTTTGGCTATAATGAACGTCAGCGATCGACAAATAAAGCCCGTATCGCGCCCGTTGGCCGGATTTGATGGCGACTTCGTAATGACAATCGGAACGATCAAGTTGCCCATATTCGTCGGAGGAACGATCTCGTGGGTCAAGTTCGTCGTAATTGACAAGCCCGCAGTTTACAACGTTATCCTAGGGACACCCTGGATGCACCAAATGCAGGCGATCCCGTCCACTTACCACCAGTGCATCAAGTTTCCAACGCACAACGGAGTGTTCACCTTGAGAGGAAATCAACAGGTCGCAAGAACATGCTTTCTCATCGAACACAAGAACCGCGTCACCAAGAAGTTATAGCAATTAACGACGCCAGCATCGTCAACCGCCCCGGTCCGAGAAAAGTCCGTTGAAGAGCCTCAATTAAGCAGGACGGAACAAGTGAATATTGACGAGACGGATAAGACCAGATGCGTCGCAATCGGCGCCGAGATAGCACCATCGGTTAAAGAGCCGCTTATTGCATTCCTAAAACAGAATTCTAAGACGTTCGCCTGGAGTGTAGACGACATGATAGGCATCGACCCTATGATCGTTACGCACGAGCTTAACGTCGACCCAACCTATAAACCGGTGAAGCAGAAAAGGCGGAAATTGGGACCGGAGCGAGCCAAGGCCGTAAATGACGAAGTCGACAAGCTGTTGAAGGCTGGCTCAATAACTGAGGTAAAATATCCGGAATGGCTAGCGAATCCGGTCGTCGTAAAAAAGAAGAACGGCAAATGGCGTGTTTGCGTAGACTTTACCGACCTCAACAAGGCGTGCCCGAAAGATAGCTATCCGCTCCCTCACATCGACAGGATAGTCGAAGCGACTGCCGGGAACGGACTCCTGTCCTTTATGGATGCGTTCTCAGGATATAATCAAATCCTTATGCATAAAGACGACAGGGAAAAGACCTCGTTCATCACAGATCGAGGAACCTATTGCTACAAGGTGATGCCGTTCGGTCTCAAAAACGCCGGTGCGACGTACCAACGCCTGGTAAACAAGATGTTCGCTGACCAGCTCGGACGAACCGTCGAAGTTTATATAGACGACATGTTGGTAAAATCCCTAGTTACGGCCGATCACGTCCGACACCTAAACCAATGCTTTGACGTGCTGAACGAATACAATATGAAATTGAACCCCGCGAAGTGCACGTTCGGCGTAACATCTGGCGAGTTCCTGGGGTACATGGTCACACAAAGAGGAATCGAAGCCAACCCGAAGCAAATCCGTGCAATCCTTGATTTGCCCTCCCCAAAGAACGCACGCGAGGTGCAGCGACTAACAGGACGGATCGCCGCTCTCAACCGCTTCATCGCCAGATCAACGGACAAATGCTTACCCTTCTATAACCTCTTAAAAAGGAAGGACAAGTTTGCGTGGGACGAGGCGAGTGACAATGCTTTTAACGAACTCAAACAATACCTCACGACGCCACCGGTCCTTGCTAAGCCAGAAAACGGCGAAACGCTATTTCTATACATCGCGGTATCAAGTTCGGCCGTGAGCGGTGTGCTCGTTAAAGATGACCGAGGCGACCAGAAGCCGATCTTTTACGTCAGCAAGTCCCTTATTGAGGCCGAGACACGCTATCCCACAATGGAAAAAGCTGCGCTAGCAGTCGTGACATCAGCCAGGAAGTTACGTCCCTACTTTCAATCCCACACGGTTGCCGTTCTCACAGACCAACCACTGCGAACCGCCCTGCACAGTCCGAGCCAGTCTGGGAGAATGGCTAAGTGGGCAATCGAGCTCAGTGAATACGATATGGACTACAGGACCCGACCAGCAATGAAGTCGCAAGTGTTAGCCGACTTCCTTATTGAACTACCGCTCATTCCAAAAAACCTAAGCAGCGACCCCGAACCAGGTGATCCTCAGAACGGCATCTGGACGCTATACGCCGATGGCTCCTCGTCATCACACGGCTCTGGCGTCGGCATACGACTGATCTCACCGACCGGGGAAATAATCGAACAATCGTTTCGTCTGCGCTTCGCGGCAACAAATAATGTCTCCGAATACGAGGCGCTCATTGCCGGTCTACGTCTCGCCCTAGGAATGAAGATCAAACGAATCCAAGCATACGTAGACTCACAGCTCGTCGCAAATCAATTTAGCGGCGAATACGAAGCCAAAAACGACACTATGGAGGCGTACCTCAAGGTCGTCAAGAAGTTATCCTCACGGTTTACGCATTTCGAACTTACCAAAATCCCGCGAGGAGATAACGCTCCGGCCGACGCTCTCGCCGCATTAGCATCCACGTCGGACCCCGATCTTCGACGTATTATCCCGGTGGAAAGCGTGGACCGACCAAGCATCGAAGCAACCGATACTGTCAATTTCGTCGGAACGAATCACGATCCAGACGGAGCCGACCCAACTGACTGGCGGGTCGAAATACGCGATTTCCTCACCGAT